TCCAACTCCTGGGCTCAAGCGATTCTCCTGCCTCTGCCTCCCTAGTAGCTGGGATTACAGGTGCCTGCCACAACGCCCAGCTATTTTTTGGTTGCAGCTGTCACTGTTGTTTGGCAGGCCTGGGCTGGATTTGAACCCGCCAGCTCAGGTGTATGTTGCTGGTGCCTTAGCCGCTTGAGCCATAGGCGCCGAGCCAATTGTTTTTTTTTTTTAAAGACCCGTCAATGAATGAAGGAATAAAATGTGGTCTTTCCATACAATGGAATATTATTTGGATATAAAAGAGATGAAGTGCTGATAAATGCCACAACATAGATGAACCTTGAAAACATGATGCTGGGTAAAAGAGACCACATAGTCTATGATTCCATTATATGAAATGCCCAGAGTGGGCAAATCCACAGAGACAGAAAGTAGATGGGGCATTGCTAGTAATTGAGGATGACAGAGGGTGATAGCTTAAAGAGTCCAAGGTTTCTTTTTGAAGTGATAAAACTGTTCTAAAATCAACTATGATGAAGGTCATGTTTATCTCTGAATATAGTGGAACTACTGAAATTTGCACTGTAAATGGGTAGATAGTATGGCATATGAATTGTATTGATAAAGCTATTAAAAAATAGAGGGCATGGGGCAATGCCTGTGGCTCAAAGGAGTAGGGCACTGGCCCCATATACTGCATGTGGCAGGTTCAAACCCAGCCCCGGCCAAAAACTCCAACAATAAAAGAAAATAAAACATCTAAAAAAAATAGAGAGCCAGGTATGGTGGCTCAGACCTATACCAGCACTCTGCCAAAGTGGGCAGATCCCTTAAGCTTAAGAGTTTGAGACCAGTCTGAACAAGAGCAAGGCCCCGTCTCTAAAAACAGATAGGCGTTGTGATGGGCACCTGTAGTCCCAGCTACTCAGGAGGCTGAGGCAGGAGGATCACTTGAGCCCAGGAGTTTGAGGTTGCTGTGAGCTATGATGATAACACTGCACACTCATGCAGGCGACACAGTGAGACCCTGTACTAAAGCAAAAAAAAAAAAAAAGAAAAAGAAAAAGAAAAAAAATATATAGCTGCAGATAGTACAGGGAGAATGCCTAAGCCTGGTGCCATTTGCCAACCTATTTTCTGTGAGATCCACCAGGAGCCCGGGCCTACACCCTGGGCCTACGAGTGTCTGGCCCACAACTTCCACATAATGATCCGGGTAAGAGAAACTCAGGCAGGGCCTGAAGCTGACCAAGGTCATGTGGGTGGGTGTCCTGAGGGCTCTATCTCTGTTTTAAGATTCTGACCCAAGCTTGGGGTTTCCACAGAGGTTTCTGTAAAAAGTATGACAGTAGAGATGCAGCAACACAAATCTAACTGCTAGAACACTTAAACATTTAAATATCTGCCCTTCTCTCAGGGAGCCACATGGCTCAGAAGGGCAGCAGATCCAGCAATTTGGGAATGCCTTACTATTTCATATGTATTTGGTTCTAGACATTACCGCTAGAGGGAGGCAAGTGCAATACAAAAGAGCTGCTACCAACTCGGATCTCCCCTTGCCGGGCCTATTTTTAAGAGTGGCTACATGAGTGAAAAATGCAATAAAGGAGTAGGGTGCCGGCCCCATATACTGCAGGTGGCCGGTTCAAACACAGCCCTAGCCAAAAACTGCAAAAAAAAAAAAAGTGATAAAAGGTATATGGAAATGGACGTGGCTACAGATTTTGCTGCCTCAAGGAAATGGCAAATATAACCCTGGCTCCCAGGCCTCTCATAAAATTACCAGCTATACTGGGTTGAACAGTGTCCCCGCAAAATTCACATCTACACAGAACCTGTGAAAATGCCCTTATTTGGAAATAGTGTCTTTGCTGATATATTAGTTAGAGGTCATACTGGAGTAGGGTGGGCCCTAAATCCATTGACTGATGTCTTTATAAGATGGTGGTTCTCAACCTGTGGGTCACGACCCCTTTGGGGGTCGAATGACCCTTTCACAGGGGTTGCCTAACTACATCCTGCATATCAGATATTTACATTATGATTCATAACAGTAGCAAAATTACAGTTATAAAGTAGCAAGGAAAATAATTTTATGGTTGGGGGTCACCACAACATTAGGAACTGTATTAAAGGGTCGTGGGATTAGGAAGGTTGAGAACCACTGTTATAAGAGGAGGAGATGCATAGAGACAAGCACAGAAGAATGAAGGCCATGTAACAGAGGCAGAGGCAGGAATGATGCGTCTACAAACCAAGGGATGCTCCTTGGGCTACTAAAGCTGGAAGAAACAAGGAAGGGTGAGTGTGTCTCTAATGACACCAGTATTTTAGAATTCTGGCCTCCAGAACTATGAGAGAATAAAACCCCGCTGTTTCACAGCACCCAGTTCACTTGGTTACAGCAGCTGCCCTCTCAACTGGTATAATAGCATTTCCAGCAGAGAATACCAGCAAGGGCCTTTCTTGAGCCAAAAATCTGTATGTTCTGCCTGCTGGACATTCTGGAGCAGGCTTAATTAACCTTTGAGGAACTAATTTCTGAGAAGGCCCCAGAGGCCTTCAGACTGGAGGATCACAGGCTCATCTACTCCTCAGAACAGTGGAAGGCATGGCTGGGACTGGCTGTGGATAGCCAACACCGCCAGCCTCTCCCGGCTCCTCTACAACTGATCCTAGCAAATTTCTTGTGACAGGGAGGGGCAAAAAAGGATCTTGGGCTGTGATGCCACTAGGGCATGATGCTGCTGGGAGTATTTTCCCTGGCATGGCCTTCCCACTTTAGACAGCGGACAGGCAACTTGCTGCTGGGGTGCTGCCTAAGTGCAGGTTAGCCGCTAGCACCCACCCGCTGACAGGAGTGAGTGATGGGATTCAAGCTCAGGCTCACCTGAAATTGTAGCCAGGAGACACACTGTGGTCGATGTCCCGGGTATCCAGGCGGCGGAAGGAGTACCTGGGCAGGCAGAGGGTGGCAGCTCTGTCCAGGTTGCAGTCCCATTTGACCTGGATGCCCATGATGCCCCCCTGGGAATGAGGGGCAGGGACAGCAAGGCTTCCATCAGCATTGGCTCTGGTGCAAGTTGTTCAGTTATGCTGGGAAAGCCAGGGCCTGCACCTACCTCAACAGCCATGTCCTGGAAACTGTGTCCTGCCTTCTCCACTATGTTACCAAGACGGAATATGGGACAGAAGGGATCTGTTTTGGCATCATAAATGCATGACTTGAGGTAAGTAGTGGTGATGTTGGGAAGGATATTCCTCCTAAAGTTAGGAGGAAGCAGAAAATTCAAGCGAGGAAAACCTCAAAGGGTCAGAGGTTGGTCCAAGATACCTGGCCACTACTTACTTGCTGAAATTAAATTTGGGATACCAGATGTTGTTCTTAACCAAAAGGGTAAAGTTCTCTGCAGCCTTTAAAAAAGCAGGTCTGAAAAAAACCATAACACACTGTTAATAGAAGTACAAATATAAATTAAATCGCACACAAATTTTATGTCCATCCTGTATTTATATAGTCACATATCTATGTAATATTTTTAAAAATTTACACATACATATCTTATAATGTTATCTGTCATCTAGTCAAGAAAAGGAAGCATCTCTAGCATTTTTTTTTTTTTTTT